CACATTCGGTCCAGCAACAATGCAGCCATCCCCAAATTGTCACCCTCGCAGCCTGGCTCAGAACTTCCACCTCCACCACCCTCTCTGTGAGAATCATAAGGGCGAAGAGCTCGTCCTGCCCATCTCTCGGGCCACCCACTTCAGGACAAGGTTCTGTGAAGCTGCCGTTCACTGCGTGCTCGCCATGGTTGGGATCCCCCAGGTCGGGGCCATCACTGCTCATCCTCACAGCCCCCCTTGCTCCTCGAACATGGGAAGGGGGAGTTGAGCAAATCTCTGGCCTGGAACTTATGACTAGCGCAATGATGACGAAGCTCTTGGAGTGATACAAACAGCCCGCTGAGGCCCTGCAAGCCAGTGCTGCAAGCCTGCTACCACTGGATAAAGTGACACAAAGTGGTCACAAATGTAACCCATCAAGACAGACAATGCCATTACCCCCAGAGACAAGGAAGGCTCAGGGTGGCACAGGAGCTGCTACGCAAGGGCCACATGGGTATAGGGGTGAAGCAGACACACAGCGTGGACCCACCCGAAGGCTGCGCGCTAGGGGCACTGTGACCACGTTCCAACGTTAAGATGCTCTGGTAAGGAAGTCACAGAAGAGCAAGAAAGATGCAGCACCCCGCTCGTGAGGCCCAAAAGAAGAAGGCCATGCACCTCCCACCAGGTGGCGAAGGGTTAAACAATGTGCACTCCACCCACTCAACGGACAGTGAAGTCAGTCTGATGCCCATGCAGTTTGGGTGAACCTGGAAACCCCACGTTCTGGGTTGCAGAAGGATGCGTGTGAACAGTCCCGGATTCCACTCAGGTCAAAGTTCAGCACAGTCACTCTGGAGGGTTGGTGAGCAGTGGCTCGGAGCCAGGGCACGAGGGACAGCCACATGGTTTCTTTCTCAGGTGATAAAAATGTTCAAAGATGGATGGAGGCCAACGTGCCCACATGGAGAGTGTACGGAACCCTCAACAGTGGCACGCAGTCAGGGGCCCCCGGACTGTGACTGGCTCCTCCACAAGGCTGCGCTCCCTTTAGTGGAGGAGCTGCCACCTTCCAAGGGCAGTGGAGGACAGAGGACGGGGGAACCAAGAGGGCGCAGAGTGGGTGCAAGGGTCCGGCATCCAACCCCGTGCTCCTGCCTGCAGTGAGCAGCTCAGGGCTTTGGGAGTAGTCATTTTGCTCTTGAAGCTGTAAGTGTGCTGCCTCTGGAAGGGCCAGAACTACAGAGAAGATGACACGTGCCCTCTCAGAGGCGGGCTGGCTCAGGAGGGGCTTGAGGAACAATGGCCTTTGACCGAGGGATGACAAACCGCCTGGTTGGATGGGAGCACTCTCGGAATAAAGCCACCACCCATTCCACCCTCCATGTCCAAAGTGGCCAGTGAATCACGCTGGGGACACGATGGGGCCGGGTGAGCACCACATACATAATATCTTTCAAGAAGACAGATTTTTATTGCTGCTCCTGAGGACAGGCCCTCGGAATCCAGAGTCCATCAAATGGGTCCCAGGTTCACCTCTAAGGCCTCTCCAGTGAGTCCAAACCAGCGCGGATGGGGGTTCAAACATCGGGATCTCCCAGTGTTGCTCATGCTGGATTTGCACAGAGTCAAGTCTAGAGATGCCGGCGCTGCCCTCCCTGAGAGTTGGGGGGGTGTTTATGATGGGTCTGTTATTTACACAGAAGTGCTTGTTGGTTGACGATTTAGATAAAAATGTTACTGCCTCTCTGCATGTGCTGCAAATTCATGGTGTAAAACCACTGGAGCAGCTAATGGAGTCTCCACACATCATATCTTGTTGAAAAAGAGGGGTGCAGCCCCCACCAGATCCACAAGCCAGCGTGTAGGGGTGGCTGCACCTCGGGGGCAGCCAGGCTGGTCCCCAGGGTGCCACAATTCACCTGTGACCTACTCCCCACCCGTTTTTTCAAGGGAAAAATATGAGCTCCCTTTTCAGACAGAAAGGTCATAAGATGGGCAGTTTTGTATCGAGATGCGGAGCTTATTTATCTACCTACTTCTGACCAACACGGTATTCAATTCTCCAAGTCCTTCTAACACTTATCTATAGCTCTAAAAGTAACACAAAATTCCAGTGCCAAAGGCGTGAATGAAAAATTGCTACCTGGGCCCTGAAAGGGATGTATGACTGCTGCTGTATTTCTAACAGGGTCACCAGTTCATTTTACCATCTATCTAGTTCACGGTCCACATGTGTACTTCTAATTGAAACTTAACCTTTATATCAGGTATAAATCGGGACAACACACACACACACACACACACACACACGAACGCACACGCACACACACGCACAAAATGTCCTGGAAGTGGACATGGTAAGACATTTCCCCAAGTAACCCTGTAAGAGAATCTTTTAATTGTCTGCTAAGTTCAAAAAAGAAACTCTAACACACAAGCTTTACTCAGTCCTCCTCCCCCAGTTCAGCATCTCCCGAGCAAGGTTTGGGGGGTCCCAACCCCAAGCCCCACAGCCTCTCCCCATCTCAATTCTTCCCAGAGCCACCTCCAAGCCCACTGATTGACCTTTCTCCGGCCAACCACACTCAAGCCTCCCAAGCAGAGACAGGAGTAAATGTTAAGTCCATGCAGCCCACCGCCTGAGTGAGCTCAAGAAAGATGCCAGCAGAAGAGGCGAGGCGGCTTGATTAGCATGCTGAACCCGGCCTCGGCCCCCTCCCTTCCCTCTTTTATGAGCCCTTGTTATATAAAATGCCACAAAGGGAACCGGAAAAGCAACACTCTTCCAGTTACAAACACAAGTTCCGAGGGCAAGGCCAAACCCTGGCCGCAAACCAAATGTTATCTTTAGTCATCTAAAAGAGAAACATTTTTAAAAGGCCAGAGCACAAAAGTTTTGTTTCCTTTATTTTCTGTTAAACTCTCTCTCTCTCTCCCCTAACACAATCACACACACACACACACACACACACACACACACAAAGATGGAGGGAGGCTGGGCTGCAGCCAGCCTTCCTGGAGTTCAAATTTAAAGGCAAAGGCAGCCTCAGGGAGTGGGAAATCCTTCCCTTCCACCTTCAAATGGGGTTTTCAAATGTTCCTTTCAGCCTTATCTAAATTCTGGCATGTCGGATAATAAATAGCTACTCATTTACTATCATAAAAATTTAAACAGCCTTGAAACAGTTGTTACCATACAGAAGAAATGATCAAACCTGAGCTCAGAACAGCCACTCCAAATAGTGAAACTACTGCACGTAAGACAAACATAAAATACATCGTGGCTAGGAGAGGTACGAGGTTACTGCTTTCTCCCTCCTTCCCTCCCATCTACTCCGAGCATAAGAGTCAACAACTTGCCGTTTCACCGTGAAAAATCGGCTTCGTAAAACCTCAGCGATCTCACAGTACCCAGATTTGGTGATGGATTTTTTTTTTTTCAAAGAAAGTATCTGATTTGATTCTGCACAGTGATTAAACATCTTTGTGCTCTGAGAAGAAGGGTCTTCCAACCCCTCCCCCTCCAAAAATGGCATCGAAGCAATCAAAATGGTAATGCGGGGCCCGGGTCCCCTCCTCCCGAGAACTAGGCGCCCCTCTGGCGGGAATGGAAGCGTCCACGCCGGGACGGGGGCGCGCGGCCGGAGCTGGGGGGCTCACGGCACCGGAGAGGGATGGATGCGTGCGTTTCGGCTCCCCGTAAAGCCGGGCGCCCCGGGACCTGGCCCGGGCACCCGGAACTGCCATCTTTCTTTCCGGCCCCCTCCTCTCACACACGCCCCCTCCCACACTTTTCAACTTTAAGACTCGATCGGGAGCCCCGGGCCTCCGAGCGGTCCTTCTCCGGGATTGCGGGCACCTCGCCAACCTCTTCTAAGCCTCTGGGGCCCCAGAAAACCCAGCCACGCGCAGGGTACTGAAGGAGGGGGCGGCCCGGCCCGGAGTGGGGGAGGGGAGTCCTAGGGGGGTGGCGGAGCTGTCCAAGTTTGGTGCAGACGGCTGTGGCATTCCAAAGGAAGCGCGATCGATGGCTCGGGGGCGGACCGGGGCCGGGGGCGACTCAGGGGCTCCTGGAGGAGCGCCCCCGCCCCCGCGCCCCCCGCGCCCCCGCCGCCTCGGAGACCCGGGCTCGCTATTGGC